AGTCCTTGTCTTGTCTCAGTGGTCGCTTGAGCAAATATCATTGATAAAATCTTGTGTAGACTGACCTTGGACTCAATATGCAGGCAGTGTGTTGAAGGGCAGTTCAAAGGAGGCAATGGTGGGTGAGGTACCGTATTACCTAGTGAAATCATTGGTGCTGAAATCACTAAGGACTGGAATTTGACTACAGAACTGACATTTTCTTAACAAAGACTCCATGTTTGCTATTTAAAAAGAAAATCAATGTAACAGAAAACTGCAACGCTCTCTGGTAACATTTTAAAAATCAAACTTTAAAGTTTATTGAAAAAATTGACTAGTTTGCAATTGACAATATTTGACCTTCACTTTAGGCAACTGATTTAATTTTGTGTAAAATTTTCATAATAAAGGATGGCATTTTTTTTAAAATAGATTTTGATATAGATTTTGATCAGATCTACTTCTGATATGATATTTGTGTGTGGTTCATTGTGTGAGGGGGAGGATTTTTTTTTTTTTTTGCCCAACAAAAAATCCTGGGGGGAGAACTGCCAAAACGGTTCGAATTTGGCCCAGCACTTCTTAAAGCCAGCCCTGACAGTCACAGAACTCCAAGAAGCAAATTTGAACATCAGGTCAAGGATCAAGAGAGCCTCTCAACTATTCCAGTGCTACCTTTGCAACCTAAACAAGCAGGCCTTGCAATAAGTTCCATTAAAGTTCATCTTGCTGCTCTTACTACCTTCCATCTTAAAGTGGAGTGCCCCAAGGATCGGTTCTAGAATAGTTTTGTTCAACATGTTTATTAATGACCTGGAGAAGGGGATGGTTTGCCTCCTCAGCAAGTTTGTGGATGACACCAAGCTCGGGGTAGAGGTAGCTACGCTGGAGGGCAGGGATTGGGTCTAGAGTGACCTAGACAAATAGGAGGATTGGACCAAAAGAAATCTGATGAGGTTCAGCAAGAACAAGTGCAGAGTCCTGCTCTCGCTACAGAAGAATCCCAAGCACTGCTACAGGCTGGGGACCAACTGGCTAAACCTCAGTTCAGCAGAAAAGAGCCTGGGCATTCTAGTGGATGAGAAGCTGGATATGAGTCAACAGTATGCTCTCGTAGCCAAGAAAGCAAATGGCATATTACAGTGTGTCAAGGCCTAATCCCCACTCTGGCGTGATAAATGCACAAGTAGGGCCCCGCAAAAGTACCCCAAAAGCTTATCTTTCCTGGCTTTGGGATAAAACTTCCCCAAAAAATCTTAAAAAGTTAGATTTTGGGGATAAGAATCTTCTGCCACCACCCAAGTAATGATAAGGAAAGCAGGGAAGAGATCACTTGGGAATTCTCAGCCTTAAAGTAAAACCAGGACCCCCCAAAATTAACCAATACCAGGTTAATAAAAAAGGAAGAGAGAGACTTTTTATCATCACCACAATACTTCTGTTACAATCATAATGGCTAGATGGAAAAGTCACCAATTAATATACTCGTGGGGGACCCTCTCCCGCCTCCCAAAATGGGCCTAAAGCTTAGTTACAAAGAAGAGGAAAACCCAGTTTTAAATACTCACATCTGTAGTATTGCATCCAGTTCTGGGCCCTCCACTAGAGAAAGGATGTGGACTCATTGGAGAGGGTCCAGCAGAGGTCAACCAAAATGATTAGGGTGCTGGAGCACATAATTTACGTGGCGAAGCTGAGGGATTTGGATTTATTAATCTGCAGGGGTATGTCTATACTACAGCGCTAATTCAAACTAACTTAGTTTGAATTAGTTAATTCGAACTAAGCTAATTCGAATTAGTGCATCCAGACTTAAAAACTAGTTCGAATTAGCGTTTTGCTAAGGTTAAGGATGTCCGGAAGCAGTGCCGGCAGGGCATCAGATTAGGACTTAGAGCGTGGAGCTGCTGTCTCGGGCTAGCCGAGGGCTGTGCTTAAAGGGACCCGACCCCCACCCCGGACAGACATTTCTCAGGGGTTCCCCGCTTGCAAAGCAGTCCTGGCTTGGAGTGCCCTGAGTGCCCACACTGGGCACATCACAGCACTCGGCCATCAGACCAGCTGCACTTGCTGCAGGCTGCCATCTGGGGGAGGGAGGGCAATCGGGGGGCTACAGGAGAGCTTCTACCCCAAGCAGCCTGCAGAGCCACCCCAGTCTTCCCCATTGGGGGCTCGTACCCCATTCCTCACCTCCTTCCACTTACCCTTCCCTAGCCCCCCTTCCTGATGTGCAAAATAAAGGACACATGTGGTCAAAAATAGAAACTCTCTTTATTGAACAGAACTCGGGGAGACTGGGAAAAGGAGGTGGGAGAGGGGAAGAGAGAGGGTGGGAGAGGGGAGGGCAACTAAAAAGATCAGGGCTTTGGAACAGGTCCCATATGAAGAGAGGCTAAAGAGACTGGGACTTTTTAGCTTAGAAAAGAGGAGACGGAGGGGGGACAGGATAGAGGTCTCTAAAAGCATGCGTGGTGTGGAGAGGGTGCATACAGAAAAGTTCTTCATTAGTTCCCATAATAGAAGGACTAGAGGACACCAAATGAAATGAATGGGTAGCAGGCTTCAAACTAATTCTTCTTCACAAAGCAAAGAGTCAACCTGTGGAACTCCTTGCTGCAGGAGGCTGTGAAGGCTACAACTAGAACAGAGTTTAAAGAGAAGTGAGATAAAATCATGGAGGTTGGGTCCATGGAGTGGTATTAGCCAGGGGGTAGGAATGGTGTCTCTGGCCTCTGTTTGTGGAAGGCTGGAGATGGATGGCATGAGACAAATGGCTTGGTCATTGTCTTCAGTTCATCCCCTCCAGGGTCCCTAGAGTTGGCCGCTGTCAGCAGACAGGCTACTGGGCAAGATAGAGCTTTGGTCTGACCCAGTACGGCCATTCTAAGCTCAGGGCTCAGGGTCGGGGTCTCACTGGACCACCTTGATTTTCATGCAAACCTGTTCCTGGGTGGACAGGCTGGCAGCTCTCCTGCCCTAGACGGCCACTTTCCTGTGCCTAGTG